TACTTAAGTAAAGTACAGATACATGAAAATTGTACTTAAGTACAGTAACCAGTTACTTCCCACGACTGCTTATTACTTTATCAAACTTCATTTTGTTTTATCATCGTGACTTTGGAGGCTAAAAGCAGTTAGCCTATCAGCAAAACTATGATAGGCTAAATTAGAATCTGAATGCTAACATGTAGCAGCTAACACTAATGTCAGCATCCACATTCCTAAAGAAGGTCCATCAGAAAAACTCTGGAAAGATGAACAGACAGAGAACACTTTGCTCCAACCTGATGGAGAACCTGTAGATTAAAGAATATAAAAACCTGAATTTCAGCTCATTTATTGAATAATTGAGCAGCAAAAAGAATTTTGATTACAATTTGATTGATTAATTCCTGGCCGGTTTCAGGCCAGCTGCTCTGCTTGGCGGTTCTGACCCGGTTCATCAGAGGAGGTTCTAATCTAATGAAACCTGAACCAGAACCAATCCAGAACTGATCCAAACCTTGTGTTTCCCTCCAGGTTCTTCCTGAAGTTCTTCCTGAAGTGCAACCAGAACTGCCTGAAAAACGCTGGGAACCCCCGGGACATGAGGCGGTTCCAGGTGAGCGCCCGGCGCCAGGTGTTCTGGTCGGGTTCGTTAAGCCCCACCCCCTAAACCTGCCTGTCCCCAGCGGAGGTGGGGAGTCCAGTAGTTAAAATTAAGACTTGGAAAAATGCTGAAAGACTCGGACTTGACTTTGACTTTCATGCCATTGACTTGGGACTTGACTTGAAGCTCTTTACTTGAAAAGACTTGATATTTTACCCAAAGTCTTCAAACTTAAACCACATTATTTATAAAGTGGCCCCATTGATTCATTTCACTCATTCCGTATTAACAGGCGCAGACCGTCCCTCTGTTTTTCTACACTCCTTGTCTATGTGTGCGTAGCTGCAGCACAACTAATCAAATTAACTGGATTTAATAATAACGGAAAAAAACGAGAGACGAAAAAACACTCAAAGCAGATATACTCCTGTGAGTAATTTCTTTTGGGTACCATCAATCGTGAAATATCCAACTAAAAACGGAGTGAAACATGCAAAACCTGCAAGACCAGGATCTCAGATGGAGATACAACTTCCAACTGTTCGGCATTTAAAGTTGCACAAAGAGGTAAACGGTACTTTTCTTTTACTATGAGACAACGGGCTCTTTGCACCTAAGGCGTTGACGTCACATCTCCAGGAGCTAATGCGGCTCACTTTTTTCCGCTTTGAGTTACCAT